TTGGGGACACGCTGGGGATATTGGGGACACCTTGGGGACACGCTGGGGACACCATGAGGATGTTGGGGACACCCTGGATACACTGGGGACACCCTGCTGACATTGGGGACATGCTGGGGACACAGGGGACATGTTTGGGACAATGGGGACACCCTGGGGACACTGGGGACAGTCTGGGAACACCCTGGGGACGTTGGGGATGCACTGGGGACACTGGGGACACCCCGGGGACGTTGGGGACACGCTGGGGACACCGTCAGGGTGTGGGGGACACCCTGGGGACTTTGGGGACATGCTGGGGGTGTTGGGGACACCGTGAGGGCGTGGGGGACACGCTGGGCGTGTTGGGGACACTGGAGACACGCTGGGGACATTTGGGTCACCCTGGGGACGTTGGGGACACGGGGGGGACACTGGAGACCTGCTGAGGAGATTGGGGACACGTTGGGGACACTGCGTAGGGGGTTGGGGACACCCTGGGGATGCTGGGGACACCGTGAGGGTGTTGGGGACACCCAGGGGATACCATGGGGGTACTGGGGACACGTTTGGGATGCTGGGGACATGGGGGACACAGAGGGGACACCCTGGGGATCCCGTCAGGGTGTTGGGGACACCCTGGGGACATTGGGGACACCGTGAGGGTGTTGGGGCCACTCTGGGGAGGTTGGGAACACCCTGGGGACACTGTGAGGGTGTTGGGGACACCCTGGGGACATTGGGGACACCATGAGGGTGTTGGGGACACCCTGAGGATACTTGGGACACCCTGGGGACGTTGGGGACCCCCTGAGGACACGCTGGGGACACCGTGAGGGTGTTGGGGAAACCCTGAGGACATTGGGGACACCCTGGGGACATTTGGGACACGCTGGGGACATGGGAGACATGGGGGACATGCTGGGGACACGTTGGGGACACTGGGGACACCCTGGGGACATTTGGGACACTCTGGGTACCCTGGGGGTGTTGAGGACACCCTGGGGACACAGACAGTCTGGGGACACCCTGGGGACAGTGGGGACACAGGGGACACGTTGGGGACATGCTGGGTACACCGTGAGGGTGTTGGGGACACCCTGGATACACTGGGGTTGAGGACACCCTGGGGACACGGGGGACAGAGTGGGGGTCTTGGGGACACCCTGGGGACTTTGGGGACATCCTGGAGACACCATGGGGGTGTTGGGGACACCGGGGTCACCCTGTAGATACACTGGGGACATCAGGGACACTGTGGGGGTTTGGGGGACATCCTGGGGATATTGGGGACACCCTGGGGACAGTGGGAACACCGAGGGGGTGTTTGGGACACCAGGGTCACCCTGTGGACACCAGGGACATTCTGGGGACATCCTGGGGACATTGGGGACACCCTGGGGACACTGTGGGGGTGTTGGGGACCCTGGGGACACCCTGGGGCCCCTGGGGATGCCCAGGGGACACCCTAGGGGTGTTGGGGACACCAGGGAGACACTGGGGACATCCTGGGGACACTCTGTGGGCCTTGGGGACACCAGAGACACCCTGGGGACACCCTGAGGACACCGGGGACACCCTGGGGACATTGGGGACATCCACGGCCCCTCCGGGAGAAACCGGGTGGCCCCAGTGTCCCCATGGGGCCTCAATGTCCCCCCCTGCCCCCGCGATGTCCCTCGGGGCCCTCCGGTGTCCCCAAGGGCTCCAAGTGTCCCCAACTGTCCCCAGGTGCGGGCACAAGGAGGCCGTTTTCTTCCAGTCCCACAGCGCCCGGGCCGAGGTGAGCGGGATGCGGCCGGAGCCACCGGCGTCGCCATGTCCCCAATTGTCCCCTCGTGTCCCCCTGTGTCCCCTCATGTCCCCACATGTCCCCATTTGTCCCCCCCGTGTCCCCATAGGACGCCATGCGCCTCTACTACGTGTGCACGGCCCCCCACTGCGGCCACCGCTGGACCGAGTAGAACATTCCCGAGGCCGGGAATGCCGGAGCCCCATCCCGATCCCCATCCCGGGGTTCGGGATAGCCCGGAGCACCGGCCCGACGCTCCGATGTCGCTCCCGGATCCCGGCGCTTCCCGGCTGCGTTTCCCTCCCCTCCCTATTCCCGCACGTTCCGGGATCCAAGAGGATTATTTTTGGGATGAGGCTGCCTCCATCGTGTCTTTTTTTGTCTGGGAAGTGGGGGGGAAAAATTCCCAAATTTCCCAAAATTCCTGGAGAAAGGAGGCAGGAGGATGAGGAAATCCCCCAAAAACAGGGAAAATTCCCCCCCCGGTGGGAATGGGGGCCGGATCCGAGTGGGATGAGCTGCCGGCTTGGAAGGGGGGGGGGACAATAGGCTTGGAAGGGTGGGGGGAAAATATTTATTTGGGAAAACCTTGGAAAAGAGCCTGGATCCAGTCACAGTCCAGGAGGTGGCTCTGGCTCTGATCCCGGAATGGGAGCCAGGATCCGAAAGCAGCTTTAAAATAAAGTAGTCTGGGGGAAATTTGGGAATTGGGAATTTTGGGAATGGCGCTCAGGAGGGGTCGGGCTCCTGGAGCCGGAGCCTCACCATGCGGAGCAGCGCTTCCGAATAGGAGCGGAGCAGCGCCAGGGTCTCGGCATCCGGCGGCATCGGAGCGTCGGTGCCGGTGGCGGCGCCGGGGCGGCCGGAGCCGGGGCCCGGATCCGTCCCGGAGCCGCAGCTCCGTCTGCATCCAGGTGAATGTCCTGGTTAAGGCAGCCCGGAGCTGCTCCAGCTCCGCTTCCGTCGTATTCCCGAGCTGGGAAAGCTGGGAAAGAGAAGGGAGAGAGCGGATTTGTGCCGGGATTTTGACTCCCTGGTTTCTTTTCCCAAAAAATCAGCATTGGATGGAAAAGTATCCAACTGCCTGGACGCCTGGAAAAGCTTGAAATCCACCTGTGTAGGCTTCAATCCATTGGGAATGTTTGGGAATTCTGGGGGGGTTTGGAGCATTTGGGGATCTCTGCGGAAAATCGGTGCCGAGTGCTTCCCAGCGCTCGAAATCCACATGGATTTTTGGATCTGCCCGGAAAACTTGGCTGCATCCGTGTGGATTTTGAGCACCATGGGCTCCCGTTTCGGAGCCGGGAATTCCGCCATGGAAGCGGGAATGCCAATTCCGGAGCACCCACCTCGTCGTAGAGCCGGAGCAGCTCCCGGAATGCCGCCCGCAGCGGCTCCAGCTTCTCCTGGAAGCTCCGGCTGAGAGTTTCTATGGGATATTGGGAATGCTGTTGAACTGCCCCCGGCCATATCCGGAAGCTCAGAACCACTTTGGGGCTCCGATTCCAGGATTCCGGAATAATGGAGCTCAGGGGCCTTTCGGGATCTCACCTGACAATCCGCAAGGCGCCGCATCCGTTTTTCCTACCGTTTCCTGCGGTTTCGCTTCCAGCAGCTCCTAAAAATTCCAGTTGAGGCTAAATTTGGGGCTAAAACCCACGGATCTGGGGCTGGAATGGGACTTTTCCAGGTGATTTCCGGGCAGCGTGCAGGATCCCATTGGGAAAGCCTGGCTACACTTGGCAATGGGGGAATGTGGGATGCACTCCGGGTGCCCTAAGCTCTTTTTTGGGATGAGACTTGGAAAAATCTGTTATTTCTCCATCCCGACGGATGGTATCCCATTACCTCCAGCTTTCCCAGCTCCTGGGCCACTTCCATGTCGTCCTTCCCGGGTTCCGGAGCGTCGGCCGGAGGCTCCGGCCGAGGCCGGGGCAGGAAAGCGGCCGCCAGTCTGGGAGACAGAGAAGGATCATGGAAAAGGATCCTGCTTCGGGAGCATCCCGCAAGGCTCTGCCAGCGGATTCCCCCAAATCCCGGTTTTCCCAGCGGGAAGCGGCTCCCACCGGCTGTTTTTCTGGCAGCGCGAGAGGAATCGGGCGGAAATGCTCAAACGCGGATTCAGGAAAAGGGATTTTTCCTCCTCTCCGGCTTCCGGAGGCTTCAGATCCGCCAAGGAGCCATCGAATTTCTCTGGAATTCCGGGAGAGCGTTAGCCGGGATGCTTCCCAATCCCGTGGATTTGAGTCACAGGGAGGGAAAAAGGGATAGAAGAAGAACCGGGATATGGCAAAACAAGGAAATTAAGCGAAAAAAAACGGGAGAAAAATCCAAGCAGGGCATCCAATTCCCGGGTGGATAATGGGAAAGGTGCCGCTTGCTTCCCGTTTTCCCTACCTTCGGCATCCGCCAGCGTCTCAAAGTGCTGCTTAAGGAATTTCTCCTGCTCGGGAGTTTGTGGCTGGGAACCGGCGGGATTCGGGATCTCGGCGGCCTTTTCCGCATCGGCGTCGCCGTCGGAATCATCTGTGGATGCAGCGGGATATTGGGAAGCAGAAGGCATCGGCGGGGCCTTTCCGGGATCTCGGAGAGAGCTCCGCTTTTCCCGGGATGCGGCCCCATTCCCGGTGTTACCTTCCGGCTCCTGGTGAGTCGCGGATATTCCCGGCGATGCAGCGGATGGGGAGTTTTCCGCGAGGTTTTCCGGATCCGTCGGATAAACGGGCTGCAGCGGCAGCTCCGTGGGGCGATTCCTTGGGGGAGACACAAGCGTCAGGCCTCGGCGTTCCTTCGGAAAGCCTGGAAAAGCCCTTGGCATTCCGGAACGTTTTCCAAAGGGAACCGGCCTGGATCCAGAGTGAGATTAAGTCGAGGAAATCCAGGGCGTTTCCAAGGGAATTTGGGATGTTTCCCTAAAAATACCGTCCTGCTTCTGCTCAGCTCTGGGCTAACGGGTTTCCAGGGATTTCTCCAATCCCAGATTTTTCCAAGGGGACCGACCTGCTGCTTTCCATGGAGCTATCCTGGGAAGACGGCTCCTCTTCCAGGCTGGAGCTGGTGGCATTGAGGGATTCCAGCTCCCGACTGGCGTCGTCTCCGGAGAAAAACTCGGAATGCTGCAAGTCCTCCACGACGTTCCCGGGAGACGTCTCCGTCTGCGGAGAGAATTCCAAGGAAAAGGAGGGGGGAAAGAAATCATCATTCCGGCACGGAGCAGCTCCGGGTGTCCCGGCCGCGGGGAGCTGCCGGGAGCCTCCGGAGCGGCGTTTATCCCGGGAAAGGGATATCGGGATGCGCCGCGAGGGAATTCCGACCTCGGAGAGGAGCCGCTCCAGATTCCGGGGTTCCAGGTCGTCCTGGAATTGGCTTTTGCTGGGAGTGAAGGGAACGAGCTCGGCTTCCAGGAGGGTCCGGATGGGATTTTCCTCGGCACGCTCGGCCCACCTTCCCTGCGGCCGGTAGCTCATCCGGGAATTCGGGGCCGCGTTATCCGCGTTATCCGCCTCTCCCAGCTGGAAGAGAGGGAAAAGGGCCCCAGCCGGAGCGGGAAACATCGGGAAAAGCCTCGAGCTCCGGATCATGGGAATGTTGGAGGGACACGGAGCCGCTTCCGATGGCTCCGGAGGGTTCCGCTCACCAGCCTCTTGGCCCACATGGGAAGCTTCCCGTTGGTCAGGAGACAGGTCGGCTCTGGAAAAGGAAGCGGGAATGAGGGGAAAAGCGGGAAAAAGGGGAAATCCGGAAGCCCCGGCTGCCGCTTCCGCCTTTTCCGCACCCGGCTCCGCGTCCTCTTTGGAAGGAGTCCGCAGGGATGCGGCCTCCTCGTCGGATTCCTCATCCGAGGGCTCTCCGAGGGCCCCCGTCCCGCTGGGAACGGCCACGTACGTCTCCCGCCTGGAAAAGGGCGGGATGAGCCGGAGCCTCCGTCTTCCCGGAGCCGCTTCCCGGGAATGCCGGAGACCTGCTCCGCTGGGATGGATCCGCTTCCTTGGGCGGGAGCTGCTCCAGCTCCAGGAGATGCTGCCGCATCCGCGCGGTGATTTCCGGAGCCAGGTGCCAAACGAAAACGCAGCTGGAAAAACAAGGTTTTCCCTCGGGATCGCACGGATTCCCGCTTATCCCGAGGTTTTTTTCGCCGTGTGGAATTCGGACAATGGCTCCGTCTTAATCCCAAGTCATTCCCCAGCCGAACTAATCCCGGAGGTTGTTCAACATCCGAGGCAAGCGCGGCCGGGGAAATTCCCTCCCGGAGCATCCCGAGGGAAAAATATTCCCGGGAAAAGGGTTTTTTGGGATGGCACCTGTCTCCGGAGACGGTGATGAGGCGCTTGCAGTCGTAGGTGAACCTCATTCCCGTGACCAGTTCTGTAGGATGAGGGAAGAAATCCCGGATTTTCCGAAGGTTGCGGCGTTCCCGGCGCTTTCCCGCTTTGCGGAAAACTCACCGGAGTGGCCGAACATCCTGGCCACGCACTCGCCCGAGTGGAAGTCCAGGAGGGAGATGCTCTTATCGGAGCAGCTCGTGGCCAGGAACGTTCCCGAGGGATCCAGCTGCACCTGGAGGAAGGGAATCCGCGGAATTCCATGGATTCACCAGCCGTTTTCCCTGGAAAAAGTGGGAATTACCTTCAGGAGCGCCCCATCCTCGCCCTGCGAGCCTTTGTAGCAGCCCTTGGGCTTCCCGCTGGCGGCGTCGTAAATCCTGCGGGAAATGGCGGATTTGCCGCTTTTCCGGGTGGAAAAGCGGCCCGAGCGAGCCCGGAAAAGCGGGATAACCCACCGGACATTACGATCCTGGCAGGACACC